ACTTGCACCGATCGATTTCGTGAACTCAAACCTACCGAGGACATTTACAACAACATTTAATGGTCATATATGGTTCCAAATGGCATTATATGACCCTGAGATGTATCCCCTAGGGCCTCAAGACTTTTCGCCACCAGGCCCCGTGAGCTCCGAAATTCCTCAAAAAGTGTGGATAATGGCCTTCAATATTGAAATTTTTAGATCTTTTTTCGCTCGAAAAAAAAATTGCCGAGATGTATATCATGGTCCTTAATATTCTCCGGGAGTCCAATTAGGTGGGTGAAACAATCCAATTTGGCTTAAAATGGTCAATTTACACGTTCACAACTTGCACTGATTTCGTGAACTCAAACCAACCACGGACATTTACGACAACATTTAATGGTCATATATGGTTCCAAACGACATTATATGACCTTGAGATGTATCCCCTAGGGCCTCAAGACTTTTTGCCATGGGCTCCGTAATCTTCGAAATTCCTCAAAAAGCGTGGATAATAGCCTTCAATATTGAAAATTTTAGACCTTTATTCGCTTGGGAAAAAAATTGCCGAGATGTATACCATGGTCCCTAATACCTCCAGGAGTCCAAGTAGGTGAGTGAAACCATCCAATTTTTCTTAAAACGCTCAATTTACCCGTTCAAAAATTGCACTGATTTCGTGAACTCAAGCCTACCATGGACATTTATGATGACATATTGTAGACACCCATTTGTGTCTCCCCAAAACCAAACCCAGTGATGAGTTCCGTTTCGCGTCGAATCATAATCGAATGAAGCGAAAGTGTGGAAAGTCTAGTGTTGCGGATAGTTTTAATTTCTTTTCTCTTCTCTCTGTTTTTGAAAACTTATTTTAAGAAAACAGACAATCCAGTTTGGTTGGTCCATGATATGGGTCCAATAGTAGTGTAGTTGGATGGGGCTTGACAAGAGCTTTCCAACGATATAATTATAAGCCCAATTCCGATGAATATTGAGGAAGTTATGGCCAATTTACTAAACTGGGTCCGGTTAGAGTCTTATATGCGGCCCAAATGATCTAGGGGAGGGCCTAATATAATTTATCATTCCTAATGCAATTAGGAATGGTTTTAGTATTCTAGATTCTTCTAGAAGGTTCTTTTCATTCCTAATTCAATTAGCATTGATAAATTGACTTTTGTTGACTTTTCAGAGTTTTAATTAAAAGCATTTTCGAGGAAATTATATGATTTTATCCTCCAGTACGGCAAACTTATCTGATTTTCGAAAACGCGTTAAACCAGGCTTGGCGCCTGACCCCAGGCATTGGCGCCTGGGACCAGGCCTGGCGCCTGGCGCTGGCCATTGGCGCCTGGGACCAGTGTTGGTGCCTGGCGCCAATTAGCCAGGGTTTACGCCAGCTCTGTTTTTTGTGCGTCAGACTCTGTTTTGTTTATTTTATCTTTTTTGGCTGATTTTCTCTATAAATAACGTATTAAAAACTCCGTTTTCATTCACCAATTCTCACGAATATTCATCGACAATCAGTTTTCATTCGCAATCATTCGATTCTTAATTCTCTCTTAATTCATTCATCTTTCTCTTTTTCTAAACCTTGCTTTTCAAATACAAAATTCCGCATTCATTATTAGATCTAGAAACGCCTAGCCGTATTCGAAGTTTCCTTCGCCCTAGACGTGAAAGGTTTAATTTATGAGGGTTTGGTCCCAAATCTCTCTTTCAATTATTTAATTTATTATTTTCCTTGAAGTTACTAACGTGTGTATTTTGTTATTAGAAAGAGGTACGAGGCATCCAAGTAAGTGTTTTAATTGATTTATTGATATTATGATGTAGAAATCATGTTTATATTGTTATTATGATATTCCTAGTATCATGTCTAGGGTAATTTTAATATTAAATATGATTGTTACGATGCTTCCTATATTCTTTCTAATATTTATGATTGTTAGTATCATGTTAGGGTTAAAGATTTGATTTTTATTGCTTAGTGACATGCTAGGGTTTGTTATTAATCTTGCTAGTATCATGCCTAGGATCTTGCTTTTATTATGCTTTAATATTAACATGAACATGATTATGATTATAATTGTTATAATGATTATGGTTATTATTATTATTATTATTATTATTTTGATGATGATTTTATTTGTTATGATTATTATGATTATTTTGATGATAATTATAACTTTATTGTCATGATATTGATTATTTATTATGTTGCTTGATATTTATTTTTATTGCTTGATCACACTTTTTATGCATGTTTAAAGGGAATTTGTACTTTTAATCACGCTTAATAAGATATTTAATAATCTTGTTTAGGATTAATTGTGATTATAATTTCAAGTGATCGCCAATAATAGATTTATTTGTGCATTAATATTCAACCAACATAGATAAACAGGTTTACGTTAATCCTATTGATTGTATGTTAATTAAAAAGCGCACATGAATACGATCAAAATAAAGTAGAGGCCTATTATTAGGGCAGGTTCAATCTCTTTTAGGTTGGATTTGTACCATCATCCCCGAACCCTTATTTGGTTCTAGACCTTATGGAGTTGACGATCTCTTGGATCGTTAAGGGGTGTAACCTTCATCCTATGAACGGTTTACAAGTTCCTAAAACTTGTTGGCGACTCTTTTGCTCTATCTTCTTCCCTTTTGGACGCCACCGTACTTTAGTGTATGATCACAGTGGGGTTCAAACTAGGGGTTTAACGCTTGAAATTTATTCCCCACACATATAATGGTCATATATGGTTCCAAACAGCATTATATGATCCTAAGATGTATCCCCTAGGGCCTCAAGACTTTTCGCCATCGGGCCCCATAACCTCCGAAATTCTTCAAAAAGCATTGATAATAGCCTTCGATTTAAAAATTTTTTGACCTTTTTTTTTCGCTCGGAAATAAAATTGCCGAGATGTTTAACATGGTCCCAAATACCCTCCGGGAGTCCAATTAGGTGGGTGGAACCATCCAATTTGCCTTAAAACGATCAATTTACCTGTTCACAACATGCACTGATTTCGTGAACTCAAGCCTATCACGAACAACTAGTCAATTTCCTAGAAGTTTGAAATACGATACCATGTTTCCTACCTCTATAGACTTATTTCACAACTAGTCAAATTTCTAGAAGTTTAAAACACGGTATCGTGTTTCCTACCTCTATTGACTTATGTGACAACTAGTCAAATTCCTAGAAGTTTAAAATATGATATCGTGTTTCGTCCCTCTATTCATTTATGACACAGTTAGTGAAAATCCTAGAAGTTATAAACACGACACGCTTTTTTGTCCCTCTATTGACTTTTGCGTGTTGAAGTCAAATCCATAGCAGTTGTAAGCATGGTACCGTGTTTCGTCCCTCTATTAACTTATGCCACAACTAGTTAAATTCCTAGATGTTTAAAACACAATACCGTGTTTCGTCCCTCTATTGACTTATACGTGTTGCAGTCATATCCATAGCAGTTTAAAACACGGTACTGTGTTTCGTCCCTCTATAGACTTATGCCACAACTAGTTAAATTCCTAGAATTTTAAAACACGATACCGTGTTTCGTCCCTCTGTTGACTTATGCGTGTTGCAGTCATATCCATAGCAGTTTAAAATACGGTACCGTGTTCCGTCCCTCTATACACTTATGCCACAACATGTAAATTCTTTCTGATCATTTCAGCAGACTATAAATCATCATAACATTAGCAAATTCTAATCTATACAATTTCGATAATCTGTTGACCTATAAATCTTAGGTTATACGTATTAAAGAATCACCAAGTCATGTTTTGAACTAGTCATCAAGCAGGTATACACAAGTATAGAGAAAAAAAAAACAAGTATACTCGTTAGAAAATCAACTTATTAGTAGAGATAAAATTGATAAGTAGTACAGTATATTCAAGTCCTCAATCTCCATTGGGTAGGTAAATTGTAGCATAATCCTAATACAACTCCACCAAGTTAGTGACATTGCTTGGTGATAAAAGGTTTAGTCAAACAAGAATTTCCTCAAAAATGATTAGAAAAAATAAATAGATTATTAGCTTATCCCATAAGAGATCACTATGAAGTTCAACCTAATTCAATCCAAATTTATTGATATAAATTACAATGGAAATATTTTACACTACAGATTCTAACTCTAGTTTTTTGAAATCAAATTTATGGCGTACAAATCTATATTATACGGAGTATTAATTAGGAATACAATTTATGAAATTAATCAAATGTATCCAATATTTAACATGGGCCAAAAATGTTACGAAGTGTTAGCTTAATACTAGCTTTTGCCTTTGCTATAATTTGCTTTAAATTAACGAAATTTTGACTTTTACCACCAAAAAATTTGGACAAATTGTTTTTTACCACCTATTATTTTAAAAGTTGTATTTTACCACCAAATAATGTTCTAAAAATTGTTTTTCACCACCTACCGTTAACAAAACCGTTAAATCTAACGGTGTTAAAAAATATTTTTCGATTTTCGTGCCCGAATTATGTTTTTTATAGGTTTAGGGGGGCATTTTGGTCCTATGGGTCCAATTTGAGTTCAAAATTGATAAAAAAATTATCGAAAATACCTCGTTTTGCGTGTTCACGCAATTCAATATATTTTTAAACACGCAAAACGAGGTATTTCCGATCATTTTTTATCAATTTTGACTTCAAAATGGACCCATAGGGCCAAAATGCCCCCCTAAACCTATGAAGAACATATTTTGGGCACAAAAATCGAAGAATTTAAAAAATTCCGTTAGATTTAACGGTTTTCTAAACGGTAGGTGGTAAAAAAAATTAATTTTTTGAGTTTTATTTGGTGGTAAAATACAACTTTTAAAATAGTAGGTGGTAAAAAATAATTTGTCCAAATTTTTTGGTGGTAAAAGTCAAAATTTCCTTAAATTAAATAGTTGGCCCAAAAACGGTTAGCTTCTACTGTAAAAGATTTGGACCAAATTGGACATGATTGAAACTTAGAATTCGTTTGAATTGAAGAGAATGATTTATGGAGTAACTGGCTGTAATTGGTTGTAAAATGTAAACTACACCGTAAACAACACTACAATATTGAGGTTTATAATTTTCGTCACTAAATTCACATACATCACTTTGCTAATCATTATAATCATATCAAGATGTCAACTACACCCTTCACTTATCTTCATAGATTCCAGCTCCTGCAATCGTCTTTCTTTCTTTGTTATCATCAGTGATGTCGCGCTTTTTACTTACCCGAACAAGCTTGATTTCTTTGGAAATTCAGGACAGCCCAAACTAAATGCCAAAGACCAATCTCAGGCCAAAGCACAGAGGGGCTATACAGAATGGAGTGTGCACTCTGCCAGATAAGAAAATTGCTCAAGCGGTTTTCTCCGGACGTCCGGACAACAATATCAGGATTAGGAGCAACCTTCATATACATATGCTTCTCAATATCCATCACACCTATTGAGTGTTTCTCTGTCGTGTGCCCATTGCCAGTATAGTCAGTTAACCCATACGCTGCACCACATGAATCTAGTATTCTAAGTTCATCCCATTTCTCTTCACAAGATTGTTGAACAGCATTCACAATCTCATTGGTAGAAGTGTAAGCGATGCAAATTGAGAGCACGGCTTTGGAATTACCAGCAGTGGCTGCCATAGCCTTCTCAGCAGCTAACCTTACGGAGTCATCTAGTAGCCTCAAGTCCCCGATAAAATGAACTCTAACTCCATATTGGTTAACAATGCTATCTTCTTTTAACAAGCTTTCAACCTTCTCCTGTATAAGCTCCATCAAAAACTTCACTTCCTCAGGACGTCTTTTAAAATTATCGATACTGAAGGCATATACAGTTATATATTTCACTTCCAGCTCATAACAGTACTTAAGCATGGACATTAGAGCAGTAAAGCCTAACTTATGTCCTGCTCCTTCCTCTAATTTCAATCTCCTAGAATATCTTCGGTTTCCATCCATAATGAAAGCAATATGATCAGGGATTGGTCCCATAGAAAGGACACCAAACAAGCATCTCCGTACAATATTACCCAAGTTACTTGTTAACGAGTCCTGGTTTTCTTTGTGACCCATCATACCAAAATTCTGAGAATGGTAATTTGAAAACAATGATCCGTCTGCAATGTATCACAGTAAAATGAATAACTTAACATGGGAACAGCTATTAATTTTTTTAGTTCGCGAAATAATAGATAGGAGTTAGACAAAGTCATAAAGTACATCACACACATTATAACATTTCAAACCAAAAACTTTTTTAAAAAAGCTCTACTATATATCATGACAATTGTGCCAGTCAAGTTTCAAGTTTTGAAAACCAATCCCCTTTATTTTTACAGATAGTTTTTGAGGAAAGTCATGCTTACTACTTACTAGGTTCATAAGATTTTCATTGAATATATTCCCTCCACACTATACCCTATCTAGATGAAAAAATCAATCAATTTTTTCCTTTTCACAGGGTCTTATGGATAGTTGAATACATCAAATTGACTTAGCCTCTTCATTGATGGTCAAAACTAAGTTTCACCTTTGTCAGTTTGTTGGCTATTTCTGTTTTTGTTTAGTGAAAAGAGGTATTGATAAAAGTTCAAATGTTCAATTAAATTTACTGTTGAAATAATATCCCAAGAACACATTTTGCAAACATTTATTCACCAACTAAAACAATAAATTTATCTACGACCATTTTTTCTTTAATTCCATCTGATGTTATATCACCAAATTTGACTTCATACTCCCCTCACATTAATCAATTTGAATGGATTAAACACCCAAGAAGCAATAAACCCCCCTAACAAGCCCCATTCCACTTAAATTTAACTTTAACTAATTTTGTTGCAATACAATCCCAAGAACATCATTTTTCAAGCAATTATTCACAACTAAAATTATGAAAACAATCCACAACCTTTTTGTTACTTTATCTCTCGCGATATCACATCACCAAATTTGACTCCATACTCCACTCGCATTAATCTTTTTGAAAGGATTTAACAGCCAAGAATCAATAGCCCCCTGATAAAAGAACCAAATTTCCCTTAAAATTCAACAACATCCCACATCGAAACGACCTTAGTTCCACCATCACCACCAGCCAAGAATCAATAGCTCCCTGATAAAAGAACCAAATTTCCCTTAAAATTCAACAACATCCCACATCGAAACGACCTTAGTTCCACCACCACCAGCTAACACACAAATTCAAAATCGAAATCGAAATCTTTTGATGTCTGTCATATACAGTTTCATTCTACTACTATCACATAAGAAGTATTAACAATTAAGGTGATAAATCTCATGGATGTTAAATAAAATGTAAATCAGTAATAATTACACCTAAAAACATGCACATGGATTCCAAATCAACCCGGAACTCGAAAAATCATAGTTCATCACAGTCACTTCAAGGTAACAATGCAGCAATATCAAAACAAGAATCTTTTCAAATAACAATCAAAATAATTCTTCCAAACACTTGAATCAAGTTCGATTCATAATTCAACAAATTATAATCCAATAACATAAAAATCAAGTAAATTGAAAGAAGATAAACTAACCTTAGTCCTGCTTCACTGAATCACAGTCAACTCTAATGGTATTGCCCAACACTTGAATTTTCAAAACTTCAGATCTCAAATTGGATACTACTAACATTAACAACAAACTATAATTAGAAAAACAAACTGAATAATATTATTAATCCCTAAGCAGTAATAATTAGTAACGAAAAATCCAATCGAATATCGATAAATTAAGCAAGAAATCAATGACTAGTTATTCTATATGAAAAAATAAACAAATCAAATCAATAACCCAATTCAAACTAGTTAATTAAGGGTGACACAGAATTGCAAAGAGAAATTTAGAGAATTAAATAGCGAAATTTATCTAATTAATGATTTTAATCAAAATATACCACAACAATTGAACAATACTTATCAATTAAGTGATTAAAATCTGAAATATATGAATGATCAAACAAAATTAACTTATCAATTGTGCATTTCAATCAAATAACCAAACTTTAACCTTAATTTTCAATCAATTAACAAAACTCTAGTAACTAAACAAAATTAACATACCTCAGTCCTTAAACAGCCAAACAGCAAACTCCGAGAGACCGATAAAGGGAAGGACAAGTAGCCGTTGAATGAGGAGAGAGAATGCGGATCTACAGCGAAGAAGAAGGGAAAAAAATCCGTCAAAGATTTTTTTTTTTTTTTTTTTTTTTTTTTTTAAAAAAAAAAAATCCGGGTAGCACACTAGCACGTGCTATAATTGCTATTTAAAGTAGACTGCTGACTATTTAAGCCAAGTGTGGACTTTGTAGTCAATATTTGATTAAAAAAAGTTTTAAAAACTAACAAAACAAAAAAATAAATAAATAAATAAAAAAATAAAATGCATTGAGACATTAGGGTAAATTTATTACCTGACCCAAACTCCGTAATTCAGACTCTATCACGTTATTTTTTCAGTAACTTTAAATTACTGTTAATCTGTAACTTGAAGAGTTTTAAATAATTCAAAACTCATCTCAAAACTACCCATAGTGTTGAATCATTTTATTGCAAAAAAACATAGTCTTGTATGTGAGTTTTGAGTCAAAACTCACCCTTAGCCAAATTTCAAAGTACATACATGTCTTAAGTTACTATAGTGGTCAGAAATCATAATATTTAATATAGAAGAAGTATAATGGGCTTTACAATTATCAAGTGTCAATTTGTTTGTGATAGTAAATTGAACTCCAATTTTGTTCTTTCCTAAATTATGATAATTGATAAACAAATAAAAGTACATACAACATACATGTCCCCCCTCAGGGGGAAAAAAAAAAAGTACATATATGTTGATTATGGTATCAAAGGCCGAACTATCGAGGTATAGAAGAAGTGTCATGGTGATTTAATATCCTGAACATATAAAGCATAATCATTGGGTTGTAGGGAGAAGGGTAAGAGAATCCATATCCCAACATAAAAGTAACATTATTTATATAATTATCTCACAATGATCAAAACAAAATGTGTATTTCTGAAACGGAATAAGTATTTATTCATATAACTGATTGAAAAGTTTAAAGTACATACTCCATAATATGTTTGTTCGTCTAATGAGCCAATACTCATAATTACTCCATACTCTACTTCAAACAGTAAATTGATCTTATTATTACAACAAAGTGAACTTCATTCAATTAACATCCTCCTTTTTTTCCAAATAAGATGTCCTGAACATTTGAATGAAGTCTGCATAACGAACGCCCGCGTAAAGTTGAGGATTATTTGCATCAACAAGAGCTTTAGCAGGTTCTACAATGCAGTCTCGTGTTGGCTCGATGAACGACACGACTGTAAATCGTTCATCATCTTTGTTTGTTACTGCTCGATGCTCCGCGCTACGCAGCTTTCCATTGCTAACAATCTGTAGCGAATAGCAGATAAACCAGATCATTTTTTACTCCCTTTACTACATAATTCAAAAATCAAACAATAATTCCTAGGAATTCTTCGTCTATTAATTGGTAGGATGTTACGTGGTCTAGGCGTCTAGCACATTGAACAGATTTGTGGAACACAAACATAAACTTAATTAATGTCCTTGATTGAGCTAACATTAAAATGATTAATAAGTCAAATTAACTTGTTTGATTTTAAGTTCAAAGGAGAATTAATTGACCATGCAACAATAATGAATATATGTGTAACACATGCAATTATCTTATATTATCATGTGAATGTCCAAGGAGCCCCCATTCATCTTCATGATAAACAAAATTTATTTATCTAATGACATTTTTGTAAATAAGTGAACAACTTTTATTAATATGTGGGTCCCACAAATGTTGACTTATTTACGAAAATGTCATGTTGACTAAGATTTTTTATTGATTTATTTACGAAAATATCATTAGATAAACAAATGTTTATCATGAAGATAAACTTGTATTTTCTCGGTGAAATTTTTTATGCTCATGTTTCCTAATCACTTTTCACTAGTGTTGGCCATTGGACTAGGTTGATTGATTGGGCCGAGCTATAAAGTGGGCTAATTAAAGTGTGACACTAGGTATTAGAGAAACCTAAATTAAAATATGTTTAATAGTTACAAATTTTCGGCAGTAGCCTACATGTCATGTCTACTCGGTACTTTTTCTATAGACGGTAATGAAAATTAATGAACATGTACACATTAACACAAATTGGAATTATTCGCGAATATTATTTAACCAAAGAAATTATTAAGAATTACCTGTATCCAATGTTGACAACAAATGCATTAGGAATTGCTTCGACACCAATCCATTTGCCATCCTTCAATACTTGAAGTCCTGGGACATTCCCTTGAAGAACGAAAGTAATAAGGCCAGGATCACTATGTTTTCTGGTTCCCAATGTTAAGCTAGGATCAGGGCATGGTGGATAATGGTGAACAGCCATAACATGATTCGCACTCAATTCGTTAGCAAAGCACCCCGGTTCGAGCCCTAGTCCTTCGCTTATGAGCTCCAATAATCCCGATCCTAGCTTCCCAACTTCGCGTACATACTCCCCAACAACCTTCCTGAAAATTCTACTTGCTAAATTAAAAATGTTTCATACCAAGTACTCGGGTGGGGATTGTAGATATGTTACCAATTTAATTGCCGTGGGTCCATGGACATTTATTCACGTATCGACTAAGTAAGAAATTAAATACAAGAACTTGTACAGTTGTACATATTGAGGTGTTAAGTCCATTACCTGCATCTGGAAGGTTTTTCGGGCCAAGATTTGATACATTCTTCTAAAGGAGTACACAAGAGCCTTACAGAATCACGCCAATTGTGAATATCTTCTTTATCAAAATCAATATTGCTTGTGTTAACTATGCATTTCTTACTAATATCCGATGAATAAAATTTCGATATTTCCTCCTTTGGAAGCTCAAAAAATTCCTTAAAAATTTCTCTAGTCTCATCAACCACTTTTCTCGATACTCCATGATTAATCACCTGCATATAACACATAATATTATTATGTGTTTGGTTAAAAAATTTAATTTCGACTCATGATCGCCTCTATTTTAAATAACAAACGACTTGAACAAAGAAGTAAGACTTGTATTACAAACCTGAAAGAATCCGAACTCATTACTAGCCTCTATGATTTTTTGAATTGTTTCTTTACGATTCTCTCCTTCGCCTTTGCCTAGATCAATAACCGGAACATTGCTAGACGTCGGAACAACTTGCTTTCCCGGCCTTTTCTCCGGCGGAAACACGTAACTTTCAGGCAATGTTGTGCCATCTGACCAGCTAGAAACAAAATTCTCCGCCATTTAATTTGTTAGCTTTTGGATCTTAGAGAATGAGTTGCGTGCTTGTTATGTCTTATAACAAAGTTGAACCTACAATTTTAGAAACAATTACAATATAGTCATTAACCACAAAGGGGACACTATGACCAAAATTATACCAAGTAACAAGTCACCCTTAGATTTCATGTGTTCATTGGATTGATGACTAAAATTCCATAAATGAGTAGATCCCTAAATACTACCTCCGTTAATTATTATTTGCAACAAAGGAATATTTTATGTCTCACAAATAATACCCCTTTGTTGCACATAATAGTTAACGGAGGTAGTAGATATGAAGCATGTGTAGTAATGTAAACTTATGCTAGATCTGGTACATCATTTAAATTAAAAACCAGTACTCGTGTCGTACACGTTTATATCTTACTTCTAATGTCGATAATCAATATTAAAAACTTGCTAATAATTCAGTACAACTTTCGTGACTGTGCTAAATAAAATGACTTCTAAAATTATCTACAAAGTAATAGCAAGTAGTAGTACTTAAAGAAAATAAATCAAACATACCAAATAATATCCTTTGTCTAGAAGAAATATTAATCTTATCCTTTATCAAGGAAGAAATGATAATAATCAAATTTGTAAAAATAAATGAATACTCTTAAGAAGTTATTACCTGGAATTGAAAGTCTCTAATGAAGAAAGGAGATAACTCTGAAAAAATAGGCGTACTGAATAGTGAGTGGTAATAATGGCATACGAGGTTTTTTTTTTATTAAAGCGGCATACGAAGCAAAAACACTTGCGTGGACCTGGTCCACAATAATATTATTGTGGACCCGAGGTCTATACACACGTAACTGACATTATATTGAATATCGTGACCATTATTTTTAACATAGTAACCTTATTTTTAACATAGTAACCTTTATTAAAACTACTACAACGTTTAATAATATTGTGAACATGAAATACGACGCTATTACCCTAATTTTAGCATAGTGGCCTTTATTATTCATATTGATTAGTATATAAAATATTTCATTACAAAAATATCCACTTAGGCCTATATATTACCAAAATGATTTTTATTTCAACATAGTGACCTTTTTTTAAAATTATAGTGACCCTTTTTTTTGTTAACTAGGTTAGGTTCCGTGCCATGCACGGTAATCTTAAATAATTTTTCTTAAATTAAAACTACCTTTAATTAAAAAAAACATAAATTTATCTATAATATTATAATGAATTTATATGAAAGAGCCTCTTAGTCAGATAGGTATTTAAATAGCATTTGACTATATCTATATATTTTTGTATATTTCACCAATAAATTGTATTTTTTTTTTCTTATTAACAAATGAATTTCTTAAAATTATGTAATACGTATTTAATCCGTAAATAGATTTCTATTTTAATTTTTTTTGAAAGTAAATTGGTGTTGTAATAAACGTAGTACATTACACTCAATATGTCATTTAAGAATCCGATTTTTTTTTCTTAAATTTATACTCCGTAATTGTTAATATATTTTGTGGAAGGATATATCAAATCTTTAATTTTAAGTAATTTTTAATATTCATATTATTTTCTTGGAACTTCTCATACACTGTATTATATAAAAATATTCAAATATAATTGTCTAGGATACATCAAATCTTTTATTTATGTATAAATTTGTTATACTTTATTTTTGTTTAAGATTTGTTTCCTATATGATTTTTTTTTTTTAAAAAAAAAAACTAAGGGACACACCAGAAAATGACACGTGTCATTGCTGGTGTGTCTTTTAGTATATAGTTATTGATTGATAAAACAACCATGTTATTGATTGATAAAACAACCATACTTTCTCTAATGTTAGTGGTTCACAATAAATTAGTGTGAACCAGGTTCATTTAAGAATTTAACCATACGAAGTTATTTTTTAATCAACGTACTATTATATTTGTAATGGATAAATTACAATAATAAGTTCCTATTATTTTATATTAATGCGCATATCCATATACAATATACTCGGTACTAGTATAATTGAGTTTATTTTATTTATTTTGTTTAATGCTATTTTCAAGCCTTTATTTCATTTCATGGGACTTTTGTCGTTTTCTAGCTTGTATTGTTTATTTATTAGGATTTTGTTTAGACAAGATACGTACATGTATTAGTGTATTAACCTTAATAATGCCGTTATGCCCATAGCCCACTTTATTTTTGTTCTCTTAGTCCTATATATTAACATGCTTAATATGGTGTACGTTAGGATTCCATATTTCGATTTTGCTAAATCTCACACAGTGATTAAGGAGTTTAAAATTGATTGATATTCCGTATTAGATATTGATCTAGCTAGATTTTCTTAGATGAAAGCTACCAAGTAGTAATTTTTACTTGCATTTAGTTGGTAATGTCGTGCGAACTAAGAAGTAGTACAATTGAAGGCCTAAAGTCAACTTTCTATATAATACTTTCTCCGTCTCTAAATTAAAAGCGTATTTCTCTTTAATATGTGACTAATAAATATTAGAAATAGACTTCTAATAAAAGAATAGAAGAAGTATATTGTTCGATTTATCGTAACACGGTTTGGAGATGTAAATTTTTTTGCAGGAAATCTAGATTAATACACTTTATAGTAGTCTTTTCAGTTTTGAAAAATTAGAAACCACGTTGTAGTCCTTACACATCCCAAAATAAAATAAAATTGAGGCCTGTCAGTTACTCAGTTTGGGCTTTGTCAAAATCCGAACTACGCATTTGATTGATGTCCAAGGCCATTTGTGATGGGCCTGATTGAGGTTACTACATTTGGGCCTTAAATATTTATATTCGTTTGTGAGATTAAATTGAAGTCCAATTTCGTTCTTTCCTAAAACCTTCTAAACGAGTGCAACCCCAAGAAAATATATCCAAACACACCTTGACAAAGAGGTAATTATAAAATTAATATACTCGACTAAACAATTGTTAGAAAAGTGCATGTATTTTGAAATGGAGAAAGTATTAATTATATAACTGATTGAAAGGTCTAAAATTACATACTCCGTACATAAGTACTCATAGTTACTTAATACTCTTACTCATACCAATATTTGCAATAATTCATCTCTAAATTATATACTCCATACTAAATAATAATCCCGATTTATTTACTTACTGTTGATTTTCGAAAAGCTCCAAAACTTTAGCAGGTTCCCAAGTACTATGAGCTTTAAAAGTCTCAATAAACTCAGCATATTGAAATTGCTTATAAAGTGGTGAATCACCCATTTTAACAAGAGCTTTAGCAGGTTGAATGATGCAATTCTTTGATGGTAAAATGAAGTATGCTGCAGTTGTTCTTGCCTTTTGTGTATTTGTCACCACTCTATGTTCTGCACTTTTCAGCTTTCCATTACTAATAATCTGCCATAAATAAATTATATACCATGTATTAGTATTTAACATTTGGATCTCATGTTTTTTAAGTTTCGTTCTAATCTCTCAACATAATCAATAATAAAACACAATAACTTTTCACTAGATGACCTATTTAAAGTATTATGATTTATGCAGCTCTAATGCCTACATATGTGTCTCAGTTTATATTTATCACGGGTCGATTAGTGTTATAAATGTTTATTTTTCAATCTTGGGTAACATTTTCTTAATGTCTATGAGTTTGTATGACTGTATCCATTGTTATTTACTCACTTTTAGTAAGATAAGGAAATTAAAATCAATCACACAAATTGTTACTATTTTAGGATATATGATTAGTTTTTTGTCCATATAAGATAATAAGTTCAATGTGATAAGATAAAGACTATAGATTTAGATCGATAAGATGTAATAAGCTCAAATAAGATATGGTGCAGCTTTATAGCTAGCTAGCGGGCCAATAAGATAACATAAATGAAATTCGGGTGAAAGATTCATTACCTGCATTTGGTAGCCCATGTTAACCACAAATGCATCCGGACAAGGCTTAACAAGGAGCCATTTGTTGTCAACACAAACTTGAAGGCCAGGAATAGTGTCTTGAAGAAGAAGTGTTATTACATTTGGATCACAATGCTTTGGTAACCCTAAAGTTAACCTTGGATCAGGACATGGTGGATAATGGTTCACTGACACAAAAGAATTCTCATCATAACCATTTCCAAAAAATCCAGATTCTAGCTCTAAACCTTCACATATTAGGTCTAGAAGTCTCAACCCTAGCTCTCGCACTTGAGTAGAATATTTCGCAACCACCTCCCTACAGTACATATCATGAACGAATACACTAGTGAATACGTAACAAAAAATATCTTATATATTTAAACTAGAATGAATATGAGATACCTTATTTGTCATCTTATTACAAACATAAAAAAGATGGATGAATTAAAAAGCGATATATAAGAAGCTACACAATTTTTTATAAGTATTAAAATCTAGTATGAATGCAAATGCCGGTTCTATTCACCTTTTTCACAGTTTTTAATGTCCTTAATAATAATCAAGAGAAATCAAAGGAGCGAATAAGTATAAATACCTGTATCTAGGAGGGTTTCGGGGCCAAGAATCAATACAGTCTTCTAAAGGAGCACAATTATGTTTCAAGCAGTCTCTCCAATAGTGAATTTCTTCATTTGCGTAGTCAAAACTGCTTGTATAAAGTCTGCATTTCACATTACTTTCCTCAGAATATAAATGTGATTTCTCCTCAAAAGGTAACTCAAAAAATTCCCTAAACACCTTCATAGCATCTTCCATTACTTCTTTTGCAACTCCATGGTTGATCACCTGTTTCATATTAATTAACACTAATTATCACATTATTATAAAAGATTTATCCACTAATCCACATAAAATTTCTTTTATTCACCAATATTACTTTTACAATTCTTTTTTCGAATATATTAATATGCATGTATGTATATGATAATAATTTTTGGTAGAAAATATATGCAGAATATTCTTCCACTTAATTTATGATTAATAACTTAGTGAAAACATAAAAGTACGTCTTAGAGTGTTCTTTCTTAAATCAATTAAACTGCTCCGTACCATTTTTATTTTTTTTTTGTTGGTCTGATAACTATATCTATATGAAATATGAATTATCTTCTTTAATATATTTGTAGTGTTTGTAGTCCTTTGTACTACGAATATGTTACACCCTAATCGATTACGAGGTGAAACTCAAAATATTAAGTTTTAAAATCAATCATTTTGAAAATTTATTATATGATTAGTAATAATAATAGCATAAAAGAAGGAATACGAAAAATAACCTGGAAAAAACCAAAATTTTTGCAAGCCTTGATAATTTGGTCGACAACAACTTTTCGATCATTTCCATTAGCTTTGAAGAGATCAATCACTGGAATTTCGCATGCAGGATAAGAAATTTCTCCTGGTCTTTTTTCTGGAGGAATTATATAATTTTTTGGCAACGATTTCCCATTAAACCAGCTTGAAACTATCTTTTTCTCCATTAAACCCCTTAATTAAACTCACTAATTTAACTAAAAAAATGGTACTATAAGTTTAATTCAGTTTGAAGTTTGTTATCATAGTGTATTTATATATGAAGCTACGAAGAAGAACATACAATGTATGAAAAGGTCAACTTATAAAAATATTATTTTTCTTATTATTTTTTTTTCTAATTATAAAAGGATTTGAATTTATTAATGTATGTAATGTCGTCTCAATAATATTGAAGTTTACTTAACTGGCTAACTCATGCTATTTTTTGTATGTTTAATTTGTGACGGCTTATTTTTCATTGATCATATAATATTCAAAAATGTCAACTAGAATATTGAATAATAATATATGATATTTATTTCGGTTACATTATTGTATATACTTCCTATTCTATCTAGAAGTAGCATGTTTATCCCTTTTTATTTTTCATTTGATCTCTATTATTATATTTAGCCAACTCTAGAGATATTTAATTTGGTGTCTAATGTCTATTACCTAAAATACTAATGATATGAGCTAAAAAGCCCTTAGCTAGGTTTTATATGTACTCTCTTAGAATGTAATTTTAATTCTAACAATGTAACATATTTTTTAAAATGTAAAGCACACATCGTGTGTAAATAGATGTAAGTACATGCGTGTAGTTAACATATATTATAATATTCCTATCATTTTATTATGATGACGTGAAGTACATTATATGCGAAGGTGGGGAGGATTTTGACTTTAATAGGAAAGAAACATTATTTTAAAATTTCTCTTTCAGTGCTTAATGAATTGGATGTTGATGATGATGCAACTTGGAAGAAAGGGATGTTAATAAGTAACGTCTTAACTAATGTGGTCCATAATATAGTATTATGCATTATATTTTAAGATAGAGAGAAAACTAATTAAATATAGTTTATACATCAAATCAAGTTATTTATGATCCACAAATAGTTAGCAAGAAGGAGCACCATTCCCTAATTTATTGCATGAGTTCATGAATAAATTAAATTCAAAATAGACTCTTGATATTGTTGCTATTTGCTGATGATATGATGCATTATATTCTTTTTTTATTCATATTTAAGAATCTTTTAATTAGGGTGATTTTGATGGTTAAAAAGTCAATTAAAGTAGATTTAAAATTGATACTCCACAATTGATTAGGGTACAGTGATCTTCGCAATACAACTTGATTATGTTAAACAATTACGAAATTTTCAATAGAGAACCTCAAAAACTATTTTACTTTTAGAGTCAAATGTTTGATGGAGATCGAGACTTTCCTATAAGACTAATTAGAGTAATAACTAGACTTGTCAATTCTTAACCCGACCCGATTCCAAACTCGTTTTACTGAGAGAGAATAGATTTACTAATAACTATCTAATCTTAACCAATAACACATAATTAATTTTAAAATTATATATATATATATATACACAACCTGATGTACTTTGTGCATGGTACTAGCTCCAAAAGTACAAAAAGAAATTGCCATTATTTAGGGTCTATTCACATTTACTTAATTTCAGTTCAGTTCTGTTCAGTTCAGCCCAATCAGTTCAGCTCAGTTCAGTAAATATGAACAGGCCCTTAATTACATTGACTTTATTGTTTTTAATTTATATATTGTAATGTATTATTTTGTAAAAAATAAATAATGCAAATTAATTAGCTTAACATGGTGCTATGAGTCTATGACCTACGGGATAAAATCAATTAACATGGCTCAACTAGGATTGGGAATTACCTAGTTGATCTTCTATTTTGTAAATTGGGTGTTTACTTGATCAATTAAACTTCTTTCAATAATTGGCTATTCTAATTAGTGTATACATAAATTGGTAATAAACCATAGAAGTGTTTACTTCATTTCAAATCAAGTCGAATCTTATAACCTTTACACTCATGTAAACAAAAATTTAAATAAATATGAAGCATTGTATAATTAATAATTTACATAAATTGAATGAACAAAGTGGCATGGACCATCTACCATACTCCAATTTTCTAGAAACATGGTCAACTCTCCACATTGTACGTACTCCCACAAGGCTACCACACACACGGTGGGGACCAATTCATGTCCCCACTTTTGAGGTTAAACACCGACCTTAAAATTCTATCTTAATTAAATATTATTATTACTCCCTAATATACACAACTACTCACTTTCCCCTAATCCCTTTAACAAGGTATAATACTACTTTTCTCAACTACTAGTATATGTCTTTGTTATACTGATTTTTGACTTGGACAATGGCTTGAGTCACTATGTTTAATATAGTATATAGTTTATACATTTTAAATTAGATGACACGTTTTGATTTTTAACCATATTTATTAATTTTGTTTTTATTTCTATTGATACTTAGATAAAAAAAAAATGTCATCTAATTTGAAACGGAAGAAGTATATAATTACCTCTGATCCATGTTACTTGCAACTTTGAATAAATTTATATTTCATAAATAATACTCTAAGATTACAAAATATAATTTTTTTTTTAATAAGGCCAATATATTCTGAATTACTTAATAAAAGTCTTCCCATGTATCATTGACTTTGTACCATTTAACAAAAAACTATAGTTATACTCTACATTATATAAACACAAAAATAAGGTTCTTAATTTTCTTAGTAAATGTTTCACATTTAGGCCCCACCTCACCCCATACCTCTAAAACAACAACAACAAATTACAACACATACTAAAATTATTTAGTATATTTTTTTTGATGTTTGTGTTTTCCTAATTTGAGATCTCAAGATTCACAACAAAGAGATCTCATTCAAAACACTAACTTCTTAAAACCCCGAACTTTTTTTTATTTTCCCCCAATTCCAATCTCAAAGTTATGGATTCATTGACCAAACACCTAAAAACCCAACAAGAAAACAACACAATTACCTCTCAATGGCAACAACAACACCAACAACAACCACCTATAATAAACCACACTTCTTCAAATTCAGACTTCCCAATAGCAGTTGCATTATTAGCCATTATGGCAGTTGCCATTCTACTAATAAGCTACTACATCTTTGTGATCAAGTGTTGCTTAAATTGGCAAAACCTTGATCCCTTAAGAAGGTTCTCAATTTCGAGAACCCCACGAAACGATCAAGGCTCCATCATTTCCTTCTCCCCGATGATGGATGGTTTCCATCATCGGGGACTAGATGAGTTCCTCATCAACAACATCCCCGCGATCCAATACAAGTCACATATTTCCAATGACCGCGGTTTAGCCCTAGGAACTAGCAAGAGCTTTAGAGGTTGCGCGGTTTGTTTAAATGAATTCGAAGAGAAAGGAATGCTTAGAGTTCTTCCTAGGTGTAACCACACATTTCACTTGGATTGCATCGATGTTTGGCTCTTGAACAATGCAAGTTGCCCTCTTTGTAGGTCAAGCATTTCGGGCAGGACTAAGTACCCTCTAGATCACATCATTGCACCAAGTTCATCGCCTCAAGAAGTGCTTTCGCCTTTGTTTAGTGGCAACCTAAGAATGGTTAACTTCAATGGAGATGATCAAGACTTTTTAGTCATCGAAGTTGGAGATGATCAAGATATTGAAGGAGTTGCTACACAAACACAGAAGAAAACAGAACACAATAACAAGAAGTTAGCTAGGAAGTTGCACAACTTGTCTATCATGGGAGATGAATGCATTAATTCAAGGCATAAAGATGAGCAATTCGCGGTACAACAACCTATTAGGAGGTCGTTTTCTATGGATTCAGTGGCAGATCGTGGGTTAATCTTGCAAGTTCAAGAGATTGTAAGGCAGAATCAAAGACAATTATATGATAATAATAATGAGGTTAGTAGTAGACATTATGAAGAGTGCAACAATGTTGGTAGTAATAATGGAAGGGTTAGGAGGTCGTCTTTCTTCTCATTTGGACATGGTCGAGGATCAAGAAGTTCTTCAATTCTTCCTATTGAATGTGATCGATTATGATCCATGAATTTTTTTTCAATCTTGTACTTAGCTTCTTGTTTAGATTCTATTCATTCAATCGTTTTTTATTTTACTTTATTCTATTTTTTTGTATACATGTAGCGATGATAGATTCAAAACATTAGTCTAGTGGTGAAATGTGGTCGAATAATCGAATATGAATATTAGGAGTGGTGTGTAAGGGCATTCTAAAGTACCTACGGAAATTTTGTAAAGTCATTTGAGTTTTTATTTTTTAATCAAGGATTAATGTAAGAGCGAGTATTGTATCCCTGAATAATTATAAGATTTATAACCGAGTCACCTACGATTGTCATAGCAAAAATTTTATGTGACGAGGAGAGTGATAGCCTGATAGGAAACAATCGTTCACAAATATACTTCCATTAAAATTAAATTCACACATTATGGTGATATCTTGATCAATATTATCTTTTTTTTATTTTTTTATTTTGACGGACTATATATAAATCAAAGATTGTTTAGTTATACAATACAATTACGTATGCTCAATATATAGTTAATGCACAAAATTCAGAAGCATGTGCTCTACTAAATGTCCTGAGTTGTTCTAGTGATTTATAAGCAAATCTTTTTTTAATTTTTTTTTTCTGTTTCATTTACATATATTTTTCTCCCATATCATACGGCAATATTTCCGGCAAAATATCAGCATATGTCACATTATATATGGTTGACTAGCGTGTTGATGTGAATAAAAAAGTTTACTATAAAAGTTTTTGCTATTGTTTATGACACAAAATTATTTTAGTTCATTCCTTAAATCAATACAATTGTCAACCAAAAAATTCACAATACCCAAACTTTAATGGATTTGTTTACTTTAACCAAAAAAAAAAAAAAAAAAAAAAAAAACACACATTTTACTTCTAATAAATTAAGAAATTTGGCATCACTTTTATATATGAATATCTGTGAAGATCACTAAAAAAACAAGTGAAAACTTCTAGTTAGTAGAAGAAATGAGGTTATTTGGTAAATTGCACTGCCTATGAGTTTCCATTTCCCGAAAAAAAAAAGGTAAAACTTCCTATGTTTGTAACATTGTGCAATTACTTCGTCAAAAAAAAATAAAAAATTGTGCAATTACTAAGAAATACAACTACATGGGTGGGAGGCAGGCGTGCCCTCGACCTAAAGGCTTTGGGCGCAACTTCATTTAAAGATTCAATGGTTCACGGGATTATGTAATTCACACCAAGTACCGCATTTCGCTACGTTTTTCATCGATGCGAGAGCCGAGATATCCGTTGCTGAGAGTCATTTAATGTTAAATACGACGGTAAATTGGATGTTTAAAGGCAAATTGGATGGTTCCACCCACCCAATTGGACTCCTAGAGGGTATTAGGGTCTATAGGTAGCTTCTCGACAATTTTTGTTTCCGAGTCAAAAATAGTCGAAAATTGACAAAATTAAAGGCTATAATACACGTTTTTGACCAATTTCAGAGGTTCCGGGACCCAGTGTCGAAAAGTCTCGAGATACTAGAGGATACATCTCGGGGTCATATAATGTCGTTTGAAACCATATACGATCATTATATGCTGCCATAAATGTCCGTGAAAGCCTCGACTTTATGAAATGGGTGCAAATTGTAAACTGGTAAATTGACAGTTTGAAGGCATATTGGATGATTTTACCCACCCAAATGGACTCCCGGGGTGTATTGGGGTCCGTGGGAAGCATCTCCACAATTTTTGTTTCCAGGTTTGAAAAAGTGAAAAATTGTCTAAAATTGAAGGCTATAATACACGATTTCAGGTTAGTTTTTGACATTTTTTTTTAAAAATCAACTGAATGCGTAGCGTGATTCATGGGTCATATTTGGTGGTTTTAAACCATAACACACCTGTAAACAAATTATTAACTTCTTAAGTCCAACCAAACAAGCACTATACCATACATATTTATAACTTCCACGATTCCACCCATTAAATACATACTAATTGTTCTTATCCGAGGAGAATGTTTGCTTCCATTATAACGAGTCTACAGCTCAATAATTATTCATTATTTATCTTCTATGTACAAAATTTTTATTGTTGTTTAGTTAACTTCCTTTAATCCTCGATAATTCGATCTAAATCACCTCTTTTTTAAACTTGTAAGGCTCCAAAAGATTTTCAGGCTCTTGAGTACTAAGAGCTTTGTAAGTCTCCATAAATTCGGCGTATCGAAATTGTTTATAGAGTGGTGGATCATTTTGAGTAAGAGCTTTAGCAGGTTCAAGGATGCAATCCTTTGATGGCACAACGAAGTATGATGCAGTTGTCCTAGATTTTTCTGTATTTGTCACAACTCTATGTTCTGCTCCTTTTAGCTTCCCATTACTTATAACCTGCATATAATATAAAATAAACGTCACAATTTATATTTTCATAATTTTGCCAATTAATAATGTTATGAATGCACTAATGTTGTCCGTCAAAAAAAAAAAGAAAAATCAAGGAAATATACATATATAGAAGCTTGAAATTTATAGTGATCTATATCATGTTAGGATATTTTTTGAAATAGAAAACTTGTCTATTAAGGGCAAAAAAAGGAGGATAAGGGGTACAAAGTCGTCTATGTACCTCTATATGACTATACATATTAAGATATGTACTACGTAAAAAGAATGTAAAAGGCCAATTTAAACAAGCAATTAGTAGATCGAGAATGGGATTAATTTGCATATATGTGGTTGGACGAGTTAATTAAAAATGCAATAAAGTAAAGTTATCAATATTTAGACGTATCAATTTTTTTTTTTTTTTTGACGGAGTGTCAAAATTGATATTTATAAGGTCATGAATAAAATTATTTAAAATCAAAAGTATGTTGTGAATTCAATACGTGAAAGTTGAGAGTTGTCAATTAAATTAAAAGATACCTGCATTTGGTGGGCAATGTTAACCACAAAAGCATTTGGACGAGGCTGAACGAGTTGCCATTCGTTGTCAACACGAACTTGAAGGCCAGGAACAATATCTTGAAGAAGCAAAGTTATTACATTTGGATCACAATGCTTTGGTAACCCTAATGTGAAACTTGGATCGGGGCAAGGTGGATAATGGTTCACGGTAAGGAAGAAGTCCTCGTTATAACCATGAGCAAAAAAATCAGATTCAAGCCCTAATCCTTCACTTATTAGGTCTAGAATTCTTGATCCTAGCTTTCCCACTTGACTCAAATACTCCCCTACCACCTCCCTACATGTAAAATCGATTTTACTCCATAAAATTAGTTTCAATTCGATTAAAAGTAAATTTAACATTGAGTGAATACAACACACGCATGCAATGTAATAATTATCTATAAACTATATATATACTTGTTATTTGTATAAAATAATAATTAATTAATTAAGCACCCATGCATTTGATAATAGAAAAGTACCTTTATTCGCCACGACTTTAAAATGGGCCAAGTAAAATTACCTGTATCTAGGAGGGTTTCGAGGCCAAAGATCAAAGCTTTCCTTCAAAGGAGCACAATCATGTATCAAGCAATCCCTCCAATAGTGAATTTCTTCATTTTCATAATTATAACTACTTGTATAAAGCTTGCACTTCACATTTTCATCATGAGTATATAAGTGAGATTTCTTCTCGAAGGGCAATTCAAAGAACTCCTTAAACACTTTCATCGCGTCTTCCATTACTTCTATCGCAACTCCATGGTTAATCACCTAATTCACAATTAACTAACTTTATTAGTTTATTTTGTAATGCCTTTATGACTCATCCGGACCAAAAATATTTATCAATAATGTTTTTTTTTTTTTTTTTGACAAACTCGGGCCAAGACAAAACCCTACTATTAATCAATAATGCTCGATAAATAATATAGTGGACGGGAAAGTAATAACAAATGTACAAACAAATGTATTTATTTTCTCAAAATTGTTATGGAATATAATAATGAAGAATTAGATAAAAGAAAAAATGATTTAACCTGGAAGAAACCAAACTTTTTAGAAGCCTGAATAATTTGATCGATAATTTTTGGTCGATCAACACCTTTTGTTTTAGATAGATCAATAACTGGAATCTTGCATATAGGATAAGAAATATTTCCAGGTCTTTTTTCAGGAGGAATTATGTAACTTTCAGGCAAACTAGGCAAGTTTGAAACCATCCTTTTCTCCATTATTTGCACTTTACCTCACTAAAGAATAGGAGAGAGGCGCTAATATTATTTGTAAGGAATCGAATCTATAGAGTAGAGTTACTAGAGTATATATAGATGCATGAAAAGGCTAATTATAAAATTATGAAAATTTTTGTGTACACCCGATTTACAATAATATATACTATGTAAATTAAACAGTTTATGGTAACTTTACGCTAATTTGGGATAAATTTTAACCTTGTTTGAGGTAAATTTGTAAATAGGCAATTACATTAATTTAAAAGGGTAATAATGTAATAGAATTATTTTCATTGTCACTCACTAAGATTTGATATTTAATCATTTAAAGAAAATAACTTTATTAATAAAGCATAAATAACTTTTATTTACACCAGATAACTTTTGATCATTTTAAGACAACTCTACAACGATAGTGCAAAATTTATTATACATCTGGGTTTTTTTTTTTAGTTGCACACGATTTGTGTGTTACTTCATATTTGGGTTTTTTTTTTTTTTGAAATAAGGTAGACCCTTTGTTAATAGAGAATATATATCCAATTTTGAAAATTATTCACTTTTTGAACCATGCATAAGTTTTTATCTTAAGAGAATACTCTAAAATAGGGCAGACAAAACAAGCACGCAATGCCTACTATAAATCAATTATATGGATTATAATTGCTAATTATAGAATAGAGATTAATTTCGATCTCATCAAGGATAATTACAAGATAAATATAGGGGAAAAAAAAGATATTAGTACGATTATGGATTACACTTGCAAATTACGATGTACATAAGAATTTATAGCGTCATTAATTTTTCCAATATTTGCACCAAAAATAACTAAATAAATAAAAATAATTTTTCCAATATTTTACTTTTAAAAAAAACCAATATTTTAGACTTTATAAATTTTGTCAAATGGTGTACTTGACTGTATTTTATTTACGCATGCATTGTGTGCAAGTGCAAGTAACTAGCTAGACTACATGCTGGTTTAAAACTTTACAATAATACAATTATTATAGAATTTAAATGAAATCAGAAAGATACGATTATATAATAACATTAATTAAATAAGAATCATTCATATTTCTACAATCATTTGCAATCCGATGCCATTTTAAAGAATAATTATTCTTCATATCAAGTGAGGCCATTTTAAATAATAAATATTTTTTTTCAGTATAGGAGTATACGACAATCTTTTGGTATATTTTCAATCTGCATAACTTGAAAAGTTTACAATTTACAAGTATAAGTTTTCACATATTCTTATAGGTTACTTCATTGTGTTAATTATAAGTTCACCTTAAAAAAAATAATTTTCAGTAAAAATAATTTCAATTCAGTAAAAATAATTTCAGTTCAGTAAAAATAATTTTAGTTCAATAAAAATAATTTCGATTCAACAAAAATAAGGTGACATGAACAGAGCCTTATAGGAATTTAATATGTCAGTGTCACAGGGGTTACTTGCTTAGTAATTTAGAGGTTACTTGGTCAGTATTACAATAGTAATCAGTAATGTCATATATGAGTTACTTTATTCTTTAACAAGTGGCTACATAGTGTGATCATCTTAACACAAAACACACTGATAATTTTATGTTACTTAGAAAAAAAAAAAAAAAAAAAAAAAAAAAAAAACTAACTTAATGTATTTTCAATTAAATTGAAATCCTAATACATAAAGAGGCGAGGACGACTTTAATAACATTTTTTTTCATTACTAAACATAAGAGTATACCATTTAGGGTATATGCTAATTTGAGCGGATAATGCGCAGATTTGCATGACTAATGACTTGTTCTCATTGACTGAACTCAGTTGAACTGAACTGAACTGAACTGAACTGAGCTGAACTGAACTGAACTGAATATTTTATAAGAGAAGGAAATTAGAAAATGAACTGAATTGAACTGAACTGAGCTGAGCTGAACTGACATAAATTTCAACGCATGAGAACAGGCCCTAAGCGGTTCATATATAAAGCCAATAAAGGACAATTAGAGCAAGTTAAGTTTTACTCATAATTCATAAATGTAATTATAAACAATTAATTAAAGTTTAAATTAGTGAATTGGCCAGCTCATGGATTGCAAATTGGGTTGCTACTACTTGAAACTTTGTAAGTATATATAGGCCGAACTTGGGTTGCTCATTCTCAAATTTTTACCCTTGCATTCGAACTAAATGCAATTTGAGTTTTCTGACCTTAAATCGTTAAATTTCAACTTGCCATAAAACTTAATATAATTTGAGTTCAAGTATTTTGATTTCTTAAATTCGTATATGTAGCTGATCATATTGTGGCCAGTCATACTGTTTATTTCGTTAGTGTTATATCGATTACTAGGTCATTATTATTGGGATACTTCGTCAATGTTGGGGTTATTCGATCAGTAATACTAGTAATTGATAGTGTCAATGCATGCAATGTGTGCATAGCTTTTATAATTTTGAAAGAATTACATGTTTATATGTTAATAGATTAGGGGCTAACACTTCATTTTAATCTTACATGGTGTAAATATTTTAAACACAAAAAATCAATAATTCATAATATGAGTTGAGGAGAGCGTTATATAACACCTAAGCTTATTCATAAATGCATTGAATAATTAAATGTAAAATATCAAATTCTAGAAACTTTAATAACATGTGGGCCACGTGGCATTGTTTGGGACAATCCCAAAGTAGTATTTAAAACTAGGGAAAAGACAAAAAGACTTGCGTGGACCTGGTCCACAATAATATTATTGTGGATCCGAGATCTATACACACGCAACTGACATTATATTGAACATAGTCACCATTATTTTTAACATAGTAACCTTATTTTTAACATAGTAACATTTATTAAAACTACTACAACATTTAATAATATTGTGAACTTGAAATACGACTCTATTACCGTAATTTTAACATAGTGGTCTTTATTATTCATATTGATCAGTATATAAAATATTTCATTACAAAAATAACCACTTAGGCCTATATATTACCAAAATGATTTTTTTATAGTGACCTTTTTTTTATAGGGACCCATTTTTTTAATTAATAAAACAATCATACTTTCTCTAATATTAGTGGTCCATAATAAATTAGTGTGAACCGGGTTAATTTAAGAATTTGTAGGGAAAAGATATATGCAGGCTGCATATAATAAGCTAAGCTAAAAGCGCAAAGAATAAACATAAAATTAACATTTATTACACCGATTTACTCGTGAATTGTTCATAAATTCCCAACTTAATACTAAAAAAGGAAGTATATTAAATGCTTATATGCAGCCCTCGAGGATGCATATAACATTATCCTTAAAACTAAATCAATCAAGATATTCCTTTTTTTTTTTTTTTTTTTTTTTTTTTTTTTTTTTGAAAATCAAGATATTCCTGTATGGATTTATGGATATGATCAACCAAGATATACTCTAATTAAATACTATTATATGGCAATAATCATTCAAGATTGTACAATATCTTTAATTTACAAATATTTTGAAAATTCTATAAAAACAATGATTTCTTAGCAAAAAAGTTGCACCTAAACTTGTACTATAAAGAGGGGGGGGCAAAATTGCTAATTCATTTTCTCGTCAAAAATTGCAGCTATACTAATTATGGCAAACCTCCTCTCAACTAGCGTTATTATTGCAAATAGAGAAATTCCTCAAAAGTATGTGCTTCCGCCGGATAAAAGAACGGGTTAGTTTTTTTTTTACTAGTTGTTTAGTTTTCTTATAATCTTCATAATTTATTTATGTTTCATGTATTTTAGCTTTGTTACATAATTCAAGTAGGCCCAAATGATCTGCTTCTTCTTCAGTTGGCTTTCACCAAACTTGGCCCGAGATATTCTTTTCAAAGTTTATTTTAATTAATTCACCTCAAAATAAATAAATAAATAAATAAATAATGATGTGCTTCTTGTTGTCCAAAAACCTAAGATGTGCTTGTTTGCGACTAATTAGCAAATAAAAGTAAAATGAGTGAAGTTGTACCATATGTATTGACATATATAGTCTATTTTTTAAAAAAAATTTAATTTATTTATTTCGAATTATACTCTTTCATTTTAAAATTGATAGTCAAGCCAATTAGAGATTAGCTTTTTAATAAATTAATTAATTAATTTTGAATTATACTCTTTCATTTCAAAATTGATAGTCAAGCCAATTAGAGATTACTCTCATAACAAATAAAAACTCGTATATAGCGATAAGACGGTCCTTTAATTAAAAAATTGATACAAGATGTGTAATATTTAAATTTTTTGTGAACTAATTTTGATCAAATACAATGGGATAAATGCATATAAAAATAATTTTTGATAAATTCAAATTAATTAAAGTTCATATAATTTGTTGTGAATTACTTTGTATAAGCCTGTTTGAATCGGTTAAATAAGTTTACATAAGTTGCTAGGGGTGTATTATATTCACTTGCTTTTTACTATTTGATCTTATCTTAACTTAGTTAAACTTATCTTAACTTACTTCATTACATGTTTGTGAAAAAAATATTTAATGTTGATAGAGTATAAAACATATTCATGGGATTCAACCATCAGCTTAACCTTTTGGTTCAGTCGGTCCTCTAACATGGTATCGGAGGCAGCGTATGAGGAGGGTCAATGCTGCATCCGCACTTCTTACCAAACAATTTAATAAATTTGAGTTACACATAATGTATGGCCATTCATTTAATCTAATCTAAACTTTTTTTTAAAAAAAAAAAAAAATCATTTTTTTCTTTATTTCTGCTCTAACATGAAATACGAGTTGAGGTAAGTAATGAGTTAATTAGGTGAAATAAATATAGCGTTATTAAGACATGCATGCGGAAACTTATAGTTGAGTATCCTTCTATATTATTTTCAGGTCATGTAGGTAAAATTGAAATTCCAATAATTGATCTAAATGATGAAAAGAATTCAATCCAACACATTATGAAAGCAAGCCAAGATTTGGGATTATTTCAGGTGCATACATCTTATTATATATTAAATTTTTATTAATTAATAACTTGATCCTAAGGATAACTTATTTATTTCTATAATTTTCTTCTCTCAAAATAGGTGATAAACCATGGAATTTCTAACGAGTTAATGAATGATGCAATGAACGTGTTCAAGGAAGTATTTGACTTACCTCCAGAGGAAAGATCGAAAATAAACATGAAAGAGGATTTAAAAAATATTTGCAGAATTTATTCAAGCAGCTATAACTATGATACCGAGGAGTTTCACTTTTGGAGGGATATTTTGAGGCATATTTGCAGCCCTTTGGAGGAATGCATCAAATTTTGGCCTCAAAATCCCAAAAATTATAGGTAATCAATCAGATCACTCACTAAACATTTTTAATTTTAACGCATAATAAGTACGTATTGGCTTAATAATTTGAACGCATAATATATGGGCATGTCTGCTTGTGTCTACACCATTTGTTCAATAATGTGTACGCTCAAGTGAAAATAGACGTATTGGCTTCTTTTAAAAGTAAAAGTACATAATACTGAAGTCTACCAATTGTTGAATACAAAGTATATATGTAATCCTTTTTTGGTCAAAATACATACAACGTTAATGAGTTGTACTCATGCTTCAATTTTCAGGGAGATAGTTGGAGCATATGTTGTTGCCTTGAAGGGCATGGGAATGAAGATCTTAGAGAATATATCCCAAGGACTTGGGTTAGAAAAAAATTATTTTGCAAATGAACTAACTGAAGACAACATTTTAACTATAAATCACTACCCGATATGCCCTGATCCAAGCTTGACCATAGGGCTACCCAAGCACAAAGACCCGACCCTTATAAATATAGTTCAAGCACCCGCCGATGTTCCGGGGCTCCAACTCTTTAAGGATGGACAATGGTTTAGTTTTGAGACAGCTCCTAATGCATTTCTGGTCTTTGTGGGCAATCAACTTGAGGTAATAAATATAGTTCCAAATGATACAATTATTAAATTGTTCTACAATTCCTCGTACCAAGCACCTAGTAAATGTGTAAAATATAAGTAAAGCATGAGTGATGATTATTAAATAATGTGCACCTTGAGGCAGGTTGTTAGTAATGGGAAGATGAAAGGGGTGGTGCATCGAGTCGTGACAAACTCAAACAATGCGCGAACAACTGCAGTGTTCTTCGTTAGTCCATCGATGGAGTGCATTGTTAAGCCGGCTAAAGCTCTTTCTGAAGCAGGAGATTGTGGTCCACTTTATAAAGCATTTCGATACAAGGACTATTTTAACATCCACACTGGCCATGATGGGGATAGAGATGCTATACTTGAAACTTATAATTTTAAGATCTAATAATCATCAATGCCAAAATTATACCACCTTCGACACAAAATGTTAGGTCGTAGCTACTTTAATTGTTTTTGTCACACAAAATAAGTTAAAGTAGAAATACATACAAACATATCGTGGAAGTGCGTTTGTATAGAAGGTAAGAGAATCTCTCTACTTACAAACGTAGTTGGTAAAGATTGTGTATGACCTCAAAGTCACAAGGCATATGAACTCCCTACCAACTACAATGTGACCTTGGTCATCCCTTTTTTTCCAACTTTTATGTCAAATACTTAGGTACTGCTAATTATTCAAGTATAAAGGGCTCATATTAATATATTACTGTACTAGTAATTAGTTGACTATATACATTACCTCTGTTCCTAAATTAATTTAGTAGACTAGAAAATTAGAAATATTTACGAGTAACTCATACACAATTTTGGCCAATTTTAATTCAGTAAATGTGAACATGCCCTATATGTTTCATATCATAACTATAAAATTACTAGTCAAAGTATAGTTAATGACAAAACATGTAAAAAATGACGAATTAAAAAGTACATGTACATATTAAAAATTACTCCTTCCGGCCAATCCCATATTATATACTCCATAATAAACATTTATATTTTTATGTTCAAATATTAAAAACTTTATATATATATATATATATATATATATATATATATATATATATATATATATATATATATATATATGAGATATTGTTAAAATTTATAGTTTTATATTTTTAATTTTTATCATTTAAAAAAATATAATAATTTTTAATATTCTTTTTTTTTTGTGGTAAATGCTTAATAATTAAAAACATTAATGGTGAAATACGTGGAAAATAATATCAAGATATATTCTTAATATTATCTTGCTAATATATTTTCAATCAAATAATATCTTTAACTTATGCATACGTTGCATGTAGAATATTTTTTTATTATTGTGTAAATCAAATCCCATTCTTATGTACATATATAATCCTCTTAATATGGGTATTATCTTCCCCTTCTTTATATACATATTATATATCCTCTTGAATGAAATCCCACTCTCTTGTGTATCTTATAAATTGAGAAGTGTTGAAAAACCTTAAGAAGTCATATGTATCAACCTAACTGTATTTATATAGGAAATAAATCCATATCCTTAAGGATTCATATAACAATAAATCCTATCCTTAAGGATTCATATAACAATATATCAAATACAAGTGTGAACGAAATCAAATAGATATTGATTTTGTAAATATGTAATAGGGGAAAAAATCACCTTTGATAATGGATAGACATTTGTGTAAAAAAAAAAAAAAAAAAAAAAAAAAGGAGGATAAGAGATAGACATGCATACTCATTAACATCTTACATGCATGTTATATATAAATGTGTGTTATCTACGAGTTGCACCACTTCACAAACAATTTTTATAAATTCCACCCACATATTACTAATGGCAAACCTCCTCTCAGATTGCATTACTGCGAATGGAAAAACTGTGGAAAACTATGTGTTTCCTCCTGAAAGAAGACCACGTAAGTTTGTTGCTTTAGTACAAAATGTTTAACAAATAATGATTATGATTTGTTCTTCTGTACACTATGAAAATATAGTCACCCTATATTACAATATGTACGTAAAAGACAATCTATCAAGTCACTCTCTATATTTGTTTTAAGTGTTAGTTTTATGTGGGGCAGACAATCAAGTTGGGTTGGGTCAGATTCGGGTTGACTTTTTTATTTAAACAGGTCAGCATCTCTAGTCCAAACCCAACCTGTTTACTTAAACGGGTCAAAAAATAAAACCCGACCTGAACCTAACTCGTTTATTTTCAGGTCGACCTATTTACGTAAACGAGTTGAAAGTTTCATTCAAAACCCGTTTATTTCAGGTCGGGTTGGGTCAGCTTTTGCCCGGCTTAGTTTTATCCTTTTATGTAACTCGTATTTTTTGTCTTGTAGCTATTTCTGGAAAAGCTGATGTTCCCATCATTGATCTTCAAGAAGAGAATGCATCGAAGCATATTATGAAGGCTATCCAAGAGTTTGGTTTATTTCAGGTTCATACTTTGATGTCAACTATCAATACTTAAGTTATTTTTCAACTGTGGGTTAATTATAAAAAGCAAAAAGAATTAATTTTGATTGCCATTATTTTATTGGGATTAGGTGATAAATCATGGGGTTTCAAAAGACTTGATTGATGAAGCATTGAAAGTGTTCAAAGAAGTATTTGAGTTGCCACCAGAAGAAAAATCAAAAATAAACATGGAGGAGGACTTAAATCAGTTTTGCAGAATATACTCAAGCAGCTACAACTTTAACACCGAAAAGTTTCACTATTGGAGGGATGTTTTGAAGCACCATTGTAGTCCTTTGGAGGAATGCATTAAGTTTTGGCCTCAAAATCCTGAAAATTACAAGTAATTAACCTTTTCATTTTTTTTAATAGTCGGCACTCTTTCCTTTCTAAGGTTTTAAATTTCAAAAACAATATTTAATCATCAATAATTTTTTTTTTGAAGGAATAATCATCAATATCTTAATTTACGAATTACAAGTAAATAATTATCATTTTCACATTATAATTTATTATAATACAGAGTATATTTTTATGCTAGCAAGTTGATGAATTTTGACAATGAGAGAACTTCAAATAAATAATGTTTAGTAAAAATAATTTTAGTTCAATAAAATTAATTTCATTTCAGTAAAAATAAGTTTAGTTCAGGAAAAATAATTTTAGTTCAGTTTAAATCAGTAAACTTAAAAAAGAAATTTAATAAAGTGAAGTGAACGGGGCCTTATTTATACTAATATATTAAAGGGTGTTTATAAAAACGTCAAATTCGAACACCCAACTACTTCTAATAAAGTTAGCTATTTAACCATATTAGCCAATTATCAAGCACATTATAATTATAAATATGAATATATATATATATATATATATATATATATATATATATATATATATAAAGTGTAAACCACATTATTAAATTATTAAAAAAAATAAAATTCAATAATATCGATTTCAAATTTCAAAATCCTTATTAAAGATATTCTAATTGCACGATTACAAAAGTAGCAACCCGGGACAATGCTCGGGCTACTCACTAGTTAATTAATTTATATGAGTGCTTAAATGTTTTCAGGGAGATTGTAGGAGCATATGTTACAGAATTGAAGGATCTAGGTGCAAGGATTTTAGAGTGCATATCAGAGGGAATTGGGCTAGAAAAAGGGTACTTTGCAAGTGAGCTAAGCGCTGATAATATCTTGACTGTTAATCATTACCCACCATGCTCTAATCCAAGTTTAACTCTTGGATTAACTAAGCATTCGGATCCCAACCTTATAACCATTCTTCAAGCTGTGCCTCTTCACGTTCCCGGCCTTGAACTTTTCAAGGATGGCCAATGGTTGAGTGTTGATACCGTCCCTGATGCATTTGTTATCTTTGTTGGCAATCAACTCGAGGTACAATTATATACACCCTTACATGTCTTAGATAAGCTTCATATGTTCTTCTCAAATCACTTGAATTTCTTTATTGAAACATTATTCGGTGTAGGTTGTAAGCAATGGAGGGATGAAAGCTGCAGTGCACAGAGTGAGCAATGCCACTGAGGCGCGAACCAGTGCTGCCTTCTTCATTAATCCATCATATGAATGCATGGTGGAGCCAGCGAAGGAGCTTGTTCAAGCAGAAATCAATCCTCCTCTCTTTAAAGCATTTAAGTATAGAGATTTCTTTAAGGTTTACACAGGTCATGATGGGGAGAGACATGCTATACTTGAAGACTTTGGTTTTATGATTAAACCTTAAGGCTAGAATTATATGAAAACTGCAATTAATAGCAGGACAACAATAATATTATTAATATTATGTATCCTTGTTTATTAAAGCAAGGAGGTCAGGGAATAAATATGTTTTTATCTAATTGTTATCGAAATATATTGATATGAATTTTACAGGGTAATAACAAGTACTAAGCATCAAACATAGCTCATGGCAAAATATGAAGTGTTCAGCAATTATGCACCTACTTATGTGGTTATATATCGCGGAATCTAATGGTATAATATACATACATAATAATACACAACAATGACCACTGTAACCATAAAATATATCTTTATGAATGTCAAATGACTATTTTACTCTCCTGTATGTTTTGGAAACACATAGGAGCTAATACGCCAAGATGCACTCTATCCTCTACTCTCACCCTAGCTTAAACTCAAACCAAACCTTTATTGCCATTCTTGCCTTTGTTAGCAATAAGGAGTACAAAACAATTAGAAGGAAGCAAATACAAGTAATACCTTAATGATATATCTAAGCAATGCAAAGGGAAGGAAGCAAATACAACTAATACCTTGATTATATATCTAAACAATGCAAAGGGATTATTCGTAAACTTTTCTCTTCCTCCATTAAATGTATTTTCATGCTTAATTTGATACAGGTTTGCAACAATTCTTTTCTGCCAAGCTCCAAGAGGAAACACTAATGTATCCCTTAAAACAGACCTAAAGCCGATCAACCAAAGATCACAATCTTCAAAGTCGCATCTTACTCGTTGATATTCAAACCCCTCAAAAGCTTTTCCTAACACATTCGTAGTTTCTCTTTAACTTCGCAAACCGCCTCCACCACCTACATGATAGCACAACATTAGTAATTAATCCAAATACTACAGGATGCAATATTCTTGTGCAGCACATTAGACTAAAAAAATATTACAATCGCGTGTGATACCACACAATATCATGAACGATGTATGTGACTTTATAGATTAACATGAGTATAACATTATTAAACGACATTGAAAATTAGTTAAACAATGAGTATAAATTGAAGCTGTACTTAACCCATGAGACGTGATTAAAATCAGACATTATCAATATGTATAGACAACAAATGACAATATTTGAAAAGAAATAGGCTATAAAAGTACACCTGAACAATAAAAACTTGAAAATTTGTTAACAATGATTACGATAAATGACTGACTGAAAAATATTCACAACCTAATAAACATACACAGAATGTGAGAAGATTTTAAAGTACAATATTTAACACCAAACAAAGATAGAAGTATAGGTATTGAATGTAGATGATGAGTAAACAAGCAGTAGTAATTTTCTAAAATGTAAAGTCAAAAGATAAATGTATTCTTGAACCAATGTTAGACTACACATGCATCAACCAGCTAACAATATGCATGGAGATTAGAGTATAAAATGGCTCGTGATTATGATTTTCGACTTTCCATGATTTAGGAATATTCTTTGTAGTTGTCTGTATTCCTATCGTGGGTAGTTAAAAAATTGATTGATCCATATAAGAACTGCTTCACACCGGTCTACTGTAGGTTGACGGTCAAATGGTCAATTGGTTGTCTCTACTCTCTCTAGTTATTAGCTATCTCATTTCACTATCAGTCTATCCCCTTTGAATTCAATTTACACTCACTTCATTCCTCATATTCAACTATAGGATGATATTGAACCAAGTTTAACTTAATTAAGTCAAACACTTATCTTCCCTAAATGATATTATTTCTCACTCCTCCATTCACTTTGCTCTCCAAATTTGACATTTTAGCACATTCGTTTTTTTTAATACAAGGATGGGTGATTTGGTTGTCTCATTTTGCTAAAGAACTCTCATATTCATAATTATTATTTCTCACTCTCTTATACATAACTCTTCTCATATTCAATCTTTCTCATTCTTTTATACATCACTCCATACTTCGATACCTCATTTCTCTCCCCACCCCCACCCCCTCCATCTTCCTCTTTCCTTTTTTCCCATCATTTAAATTAATAGGAATATTCTTCCCCATTCACTTGTTTTCTCTAATCTGCTTATATCATCAGATTGACATTGACCCATATCCGAACTATATGCTTCCCTGCTCATTGTATACCGTAAATTGATAGTCAATTGGTTATCTCTAGTTTTTTACTACCTTATTACATTATTATCTCCGAATTCAATGTTAGGGTATTTTTCATTCCTCATTTTCAACTATAGGATGGCAATGAACCAAGTTTAAATTAATTAGGTCCAACATTTCTCTTCTTTAAGTCCTATTACTTCTCAATCCTTTTTTTTTCACTCTTTCCTCTGAATTCGAAATCTCCCTTCTCAGGCTCCTCTGTTTCTTGTTCTAAACTTTCTTCCTTCCCCAATCCCTTATAACTATTTCAATTACAACATTGCAGTTGAAGATCACACCTAATGATCTAACAAAAGCTAAGATGCAAGCATGTACACTTTCCAAAGAATATAACCATAAGAACTCATATAGAAAACCAAAACCAAAATATAAACAGGAGCAAAGCAAGCAAATATATCTAGCATATCATCCGAATTTCAAAACCTATCACCAGCACCAACCAGAAAGCCCACCCCCCACCACAACCCCCACCCCCCCCCCCCCCCCCACCACCCCCGGGTCTAACCCAATATTTAAAAACAAAACAGCACATAAAAATTATGGCAAGAAGTGCACTCCCCAGAAACAACTGCTGAATGTACCTTCCACAAGAGCATGGTTGTCTTCTTTCTGTCCTCGTCTTCTTTCTATCCTGGTAGGATTGCTATTCTGAGGCAAGGGCAAGGCCTTTGTTGGGAGCACTTTGGAAGAGAAGCCACCTAGTGCTTTGATCTTCAGCTGCTCCAGAATCCTGCATGCTTCCCTAAGCTCATCTTCTGCATGTTTCCCGTGACCTCCCCAACCATCAACTGCTTTTTGCTGGAATTCTATTGCAAGGGCATAACTGCAATTCAACAAATGCAATATATGAAAGGGAGAAATTTTCAAATACGAAGAAGTTTCATCTGTTGACAGGTTGGGACAGGTTGGGAACCTGAATAATTTCACATAAACCAGTACAAATAAACTACTTAATGCCTAACAAGGTGAGTAATAAAGCAACAGCATTTGACAATTATGTACACCCATTTGTAGTTCTGTAGCATTCCACTCGTTGAGCGACAGCTGTCCTCAAGAAGTACAGTTTCAACGTATGCACCACAAGACACCTACATTAAGAATTAGCACTAGCACTACAGTTTTGCACTTTTGCAGCACATCATGAGTTCATGACAAGAGAGAATTCTTTAAAGACTAAATCAAGTAAAGCTGATCATGGTTCAGAACGCAGGTAGAAAAGGACTGCCTAGACTATTTTCAAAGGCCATATATTTTTTTTACTTCGACCCAAATTGGCGAGGGTAAAAGGCCAAATGGTCTAATCATGCATTCAGGTGTCAGTTGGTCACAGTTTAGAGCAAAAATACTTCGTGAATTAGAACAGCCCCCTTTTTATCAGCTCTACTTTCTAGTAAATCATATTAACTTGAGATAAGGTTCACTTTCAACTTTGAAGAGGTATAGGAGCATGGTACACCATTTGCAATAGCTCCTAGTTATATTATTCAAATTTAAAAGTCCGATACATACCACCAATTCTTGTCCTTTCACGAGTGACTAGTAAGTGACGAGGAGTGTAAGTGAATTAGGTTACTCTAAAGACACAATAGATTTTAAAAAATTGATTACCTGAGAAACATTTTGAAGAACAAGAAAAAGGAATCCATGAAGCAATATGCCAATATCATGAAACCAGTAAAGATATTGGAACAATAATATGCCATGTTTTGGCACATTCCATTGCTACTTGAAGTTAGACTCATAATTCATTCCTAACGTTACTGATAATTTTAATATTAACTGGCATTTTAGGTGCCTAATATGTAACTAAGAGCTATGAAGTGCCAGGATCGAATAAAATGCCTCAAATTAGAACTCAAAAACCTCTGCAAGGAGAGAGAGAAAAATGGCAACAATACACAAAGATGTGAACGATGGCAGTTCTTCTAAGCAATTCCAAAGATAAATTTGATATTCACTTAGATATAGTAAACTTATAAACTACAAATATTCATGTACCTTTCCATGGAAGCATATGCTTTTGAGAGGTTTTGACATGCCTCAATAGAGTCAACATGATGAGGACCAAGCGAGATATCCATGATGTCCTTTGCAACAGCAAACATCTGTGCTGCTGACTGTGGTCTTTCCAGCTCCAAATAAGCTGCCCCTAAGTTGTTATAGATGTATCCAACTCCGAAATGCTTGGGGCCAAAGCTTTCTTTTAAAGTTTCAGCAGCACCCTCCAAATAAGGAATAGCCTGTGTAACCTTACCTGTCAATAAGAGTAACCAACCAATCCTAGCAGACACACTTCCTTCAGAATGCTGTTCTTGAGGCAGCTTTTCAAGCAAAGCATGTGCTCTCTTCAACAAGGATATTGCAGTTTCAAATTCATTCATTGTCTCATATTGCATAGATATCTCCATATAAGCCTCAGATACTTCTAAGGGTTTCAACTTTTCCTTTTTGTCTAGTATACTGGTAGCAATCTCTAGACACCGCTTTGCATCAGCAAACTTCTCTTGACTGACCAACGCTTTGGCCATTGTAATAAAAATAAGAGCCCGATTCTCACTATCCTTTTCTGTCTGCTGAACAACCCCCTTCAACGTGTTTATAGCTGCCTCAAACCTCCTAAGAGCAATATGCATATTAGCAGCATCGATCTCAGCACGAAGCAAATCAGAGCTTCGACCCCAATTCTTTAGAACTTTCTGAGATAACTGATTCTGCTCTAATGCCTTCTCATACTGCTCCATCCCAGTGTAAATTACCCCAAGAAGCCGCCTATCTTGAGCAACCTCTACCGAATTATCCCCCAACAATTTTATGTGTAACTCTAACGCTTTCAAACAATACGGTAAGCCTTCCT